GATCGGATCGGTCTCCCTGCCAGGGGACGAAAGGCTACAACTACCGCTATCGCTATCCCCCCCCTTCCCCTGCCCCGTGTTTCGCCTGACTGGACCTCCGGGGCGGCCCTCCCCGCCACGGTCAGATTCGCGTCAGGAGCTTGGCCAGAGCGCACCCCAGGAGAGGTCCAGAGAGTCGCGGTGTCGGTACAGATTTGCTTCCACACCTCAGCGTGGGGGGCGCGGCCTCCCTCCAGCAGGGGAAGGACGAGGGCCGAGAAGGTGGGCTGTGGCGAAGCAGGAGGAGTGGGGGCGAGGAGGGAGGCGGGCGACGCCCCCCGCCGTCCTCTCTCTTCTCATCCGCCTCTGCTGTCTCCCCCTCCGCCTCCTCTCCGCCGCCCTCTCCTCCACCTCACTCTACTCTTACTCCTCCGCCTCCTCCTGCTCCTCCCCTCTCCCTCCTCCTCCTCCTCCTCCTCCTCATCTTCCTCCTCCTCCTCCTCCTCATCCTCCTCCTCATCATCACCATCATCATCATGTCGTTGTCGTTTCCACCGGGGGTGGTCGGAAGATGTGCTGGTGATACGGGGTTTGTGAAGCCCTGCCTTTCAGATTTAATACGTGTCTTTCCTGTCTTCAAAAGCGCCGAGGAGCTAGCAAATTGAAGCTCCAACCCAGCAAGACAGTAGTTGATCCTCTTTGGGTGGAGGTCACGCCAGAGGTAGACTATCGCATTCGCACATTTTTAGGGGCAAACATTCCCGAGTGGAGCGGTTTCAAGACCGCTGGCCAGGCGAAGTACCTAGGAGTGCAATTCGGCCCCGCGGCCACAGAGAGAGGGGTCTGGGCGGAGGCCATTCGCAAGTGGTGGAGTCGGACTTGCGACATTCCACGGACGGCCGCGCCATCGAGTGTCAGCCTGCCTCTGTACAACAGCACCGCCCTCTCGACGCTCAGTTATCTGTCACAGCTTTTTCCATTGCCAACCGTTGTCTTGCACAAAGAAAAAATCGCTCTGCACGAAGTCCTCCGTTTGCCGCCCAGCACGTTCCGATTGATTGATTTGTGTTCTTTCAAAGCACACGACTTTGTGGCTCCCGCATCCGCGCGAATCATGCATATTGCGAGCTTGTGGAGATGCGGCGTTCACACTTTGCGAAGCTGGGATTCGCAGCTGCATGAATGGGATTCCACTGGTGCGCTGGACGCGTGGTCAATGGAGTGCACCATGCTGGAACATTGGGCACGGTTGTTTGCAACGTTTTGCGAGGCTCGCCGAGGAGCCACCCTTTTCTTCAATCCCTGTGGCTGCCTGGCGATCGGCGCATGTGGAGGCCCGTGACGAGCAAGCTAGCGCAGCGGGCGAAGACCACAAAGGAAAGGTCCAGCGTACCCTTTCATCCTCTCTGCGCGCCTCTCTTTTTCCACCTGGTTTCGAGATTACTATCGCTAAGCATTTGTCTGCGTGGGGCTTTTCTGTGTCGATTAGTGGGACGGTGGGTGAGCGGTGGGGGGAATATCTTGCGGTGCTCCGCACATTTAAGCCTGCGTGGCAGTGGAGCCTTCTCAAGACCCTCGCAGGAGGGTGGACAGCATCTCACCGCATGCATGTCAGTGACGTGATACCCTGCATTTTTTGCTTGCAGAGAGCAGCCTGATTCTATCGCACACTATCTCATCTGCCCTGTCCTTGGTGAACTCGTTGCCCTCCCCCCTTCACCTCTTTGAACACTCGGTCCTGGCGCCGGCAACGGGTACAACTGGGCAGCGTGCGCACTCTCCCGCAGTGCCGCCATGCGCCTCGGCGTGCTCTCCTTTCACACCTACCATAAGCTCAAGGCGACGCTGGTTCACGGAACCGCAGCGAACCCGTCAGAGCAATTTGTTGTTGTTAGCAGTTGCCGTGCACACACACCACTGACAATTAAGCGTGCGGCCAGACTGTTGCCCCCCAGGTACGGTCGATCATCATCATCATCATCATCATCATCATCATCATCATCATCATCATCATCATCATCATCATCATCATCATCATCATCATCATCATCTCGTCATCATCATCATCATCATTATCCTCCTCCTCCCCCGTTTCAGCCCTCCTCTCTTCTTGTCCTCCTCTCCTCCTCCTCCTCCCGTTACTCCTCCTCCTCCTCCCAATTCTTATCCTTTTCCTCCTCCTCCTCTTCTTGCATCTCCCCCTCTGCAGTTGCAATATTGGCACCACTTCGCTTTCCCATGACACTGTCTGGGGGGCACGCGTGTCTCCTGCAGCACAATCCGTTCACACATAACTGTTCAGAAAGATGGTTTGAGACCTTGTGCGGATTCAATCGGAACGTTCCCGGCCTTTCAGACACAAAGCTCCCACTGCAGGTTTGACCACAGCTCAGGATCGGCGATTTGCTCCGATCGTTCAGAATGGTGCTCTCGCATCAGCGCAGCCCACACTTCTGGATCCGATTCCGTCTTCGTCGTTGCCGCCCTCTACTTTCCCCTCCTCCGCCTTCTCCTGGTCCTCCTGCTCCTCACGGTTCCTCCTATTGGGAAGGCTTTACGGCCGGTGCCGCCGAATTGAAGGGGGACGACGACGACGACGACGACGACGACGACGACGACGACGACGACGACGACGAGGACGACGACGACGACGACGACGACGACGACGACGACGAAGACGGCGGGTTCGGCGGCGGTGGCGGCGGCGGCGAGGGCGGCGGCGACGGCGCGGACGCTCTGGAGCTTTTTTTGTGGCTCTCTTGGGAGCCTAGTGGGCTGTGTTGGGGGGCCACTTGGGGGATCTTTTGGGGAGCTCCATGGCCACTTGGAGCCGCCTCGCAGTGGACATGAGGCCTCTTGGAGGCATGTGGGAAAATACGCAGCACTCCGCAACAGCAGATAAGAGTGAGGTGAGGAGGATGCTTCCGGGGGCGGGGGTCCGGGAGGAGAGGGGGGGTGAGGAGGCGGGAGGAGGGGTTCTGAGTTCCCCCTTGTCCACAGGGGGACCCCCGTCACGGCCCCTGGGATACCCCCCGCTGCCACCCCTGGGACTTCCCCCGCTGCAACCCTCACCACCGGCAGGGAAGGGATCAAAGGGAAGAGGCTTCCCCCCAGGGGAGGAGGTGAAAGCGGTGACGGCGACGACGACGACGACTCAAACGGAAATGGGGACCACCAAGGTCATATATATATATATATATATATAATACCCCGTTCGACGGATCGGTGCATACCTACAACAATGTAAGGGGCGAGTGGGAGTGGTAGAACGTCAGATATGGCGCGTTCGTTCTCGGCTTTTGTCTCCCACTCTTCTCAGCTTTCGCTCCTGTCTTCCTCCGTTTCTGTTCTCACCCGGACGACTCTCGTATGATACACGTTCGCTCATTCATCCGCCCCTGGGCGCTGCAAGCGCCGTGGGGGGCGGATGCATGCGCCCCCCCCCTTTTCAACGCCTGGACGAGCGTGCGAATATCCACGAGGGCAATGGGCTTCCCACGCGTGTCAGCACAAGGCAACGCCAAGTTCAACGCGGCATTCGTATACAATTCCGAGCGCTATTCACAGGGGGCGGTGCTTTCAAGGAAGCGCGACGGGAAGGAGGGGGCTCTCGTGTGGGGTCCTTTTGGAGCCGTCTTGGAGCGTCTACGGGGCCTCTGGGGGCCCTCCTGGGCCGTCTGCGGAGCCTTGCCGGCCGCATTGGGGCCATCGTTGGCTGGGTGGGGCCCGTGTTGGGACGTATTGGGGCCATCTTGGGCGGTCCTGAGCCCGTCTCGGGGTCCTCTTGGGCTGTCTTGGGCGTCTCTGGGGCCATCCCGAGGCCGGCTGGAACCGTCGTGGGGCCCTCCTGAAGGTCTCTTGACCCGTCTCGTGAGTCTGAACGAGTTTGCCAAACATGCAGGTTTTCCATTGGGAATGTGCGATTATTCATTTGTTGGGACCCTCGCGGGGAGGTCATCGGGGCGCCTTCGTGTGGCGTATTGGAGGCTCCGAGGGCGGTCTTGAAGCCATGTCTGGACGACTGGGTGCCATCGGAGATGGTCGAGGACCCCCTGGGACGCATGCCGACTCCATGCGGGCCGCCCAGGACCATCTCTGAGGCGGCCCAGCCGCCAGTCCAAGCTGGCGCATTTCGTATGCCCCCATACCCCCCGCCAGACCGGCTGGACGGAGCCTCCCAGGGAGGGGTTTGGGGAGGGGTAACAGTCTCACACGCCGTAGACCCCAAGGGGTCGGCGGACTTATGCAGCTTCGTACATACATGTGCGCTGCCTTCATCCAAGCGATGTTCGTTTGCTGCACGACCGTTCGCTCCTCGACCGTCGAGGATGGAGAATTCGAGGCATAGGGAGCTTCTGGCCTTTTCTCTGACGTCCAGAGGCCTCGGGATGCCCAGAAGGACCTCATGTAGCCTTCTGAAGCATTTGAGAGCGTCCATTATTGCTCTCGTCCGCACTGTTCCAGCAAGGAGGAAAGATGGCCTGAGGGGAACACGCCTTGACGTTCTTCAATGTTGGAACTCTCGGGAGCTTGCAACCAGCCCCAGATGACACAGGATGAAGAAGTGGCCCGGGGAAAGCCATGGATCTAGTACACGTTGCCCTCATGACCATCTTTGCTCGTACCAGTTGTTTTTTCCCGCCCACCTTCCACACGTGATCCCTCCTTGTCCTATCGTCCCCTCCGTCCTCTTCCAACGGCGGACGCTTTGTCCCGCGCTGCCTGGAGCACAGCGAACGGGAGCCAGCAGACACCTCCGCCGTCCTTCCCTCAGGGTGGGGTGGTTCCCCCGGGGGTGGCCACACGTCTACGACGGCGACCACCCCCAGGGGGGAGGGGCCAGGCAGCCGGAGCCTGCTCCTCCTCCGGCCCCTTCGCCGCAGCGAGTTATCGGCGAGGGGGTCACCTCACTGTCCCTTGACAAGCTTGTATAATTCGGTGTATGCCACGTGTGGGGCTTTGATATGCTCCACATGCTTCTCCCGTTTCCTCTTCCACTCGCTCGCCCCCTCGGCAGAGCCATGCCGATCTTCTTGTCGCGCCCGGCGGCGGCGCCCGACGAGAAGCCACGGGCGGGAGGCCCTACCCGGCTCCAGCGCTGCCCCTTCCAGCGGGCGGGCAGGACCTTAAGCGCTGCGTGGACGCCATTGCCACGCCGCTGGAGGCCGAGGAGCTCATGCAGGACATGAGGCCCGGCAAGGGTGGGTCGGCCACGCGCAGTGGGCGGTAGGGGGAAGGGGGGAGGCTTCTTAGAAGCACCCGTGCTTTTTAGAGGACATGCAGCCTGGCGAGGGCGGGTCGGCCACGCGCAGAGGGGGTAGGGGGTTGGGGGACGGCTTCTTCGAAGCTCCCCTGCTTCTTAGAAGGCGCGGGCCCTGTCTATAGACGTAGGGCCGGCGCCTCCTACGAAGCGGGCCAGTGCGTCCCCGACCCCACCCCCCCGTACCGACGCGGCCCCCGTCGGTACGATCGGAATTAGCTTCCGCTGCCCGTGCCTCGTGTTGGACCTCTGGGCCTCCTGGGGGACCCTCGTCGCCGAGGCTAGGATTCGCCGGAAGATTCCTGTCAGATCCCACACCCGGAGAGGTCCGTGGAGCAGCGGTATCGGTATACCTTTTGGGGTCCCCACTCGACGCGGCGGCGACCCCAGCGCGGGCGTTCAGGATTGAACGCCGCTGGAGTCCCAGAACCGGCCCATGTGGAACGATCCGGCTAGCGAAAAGCCGCCGATCGTTGAGGGTTGAACTTCCCACGCGGCGTCAGGGACCAGCGCGGGGTCCGTCACGACGCGAACCTGCCTTACGGAAAGGAGGGGGGCGAAGATTGACAGCGGTTCTCGTCCACTTTGCACTTTGGGCAGAGCTCGCTGTCGGCGTCGCCGCGGATGCTGATCGTTGGAGGCGCAAGGTTACCTGTCCACCTCGTCCGCCGTACGTTCTGTTTTTTTGTTTGTTTTCTCTCTCTCTCTCTATATCTCTCTCTTTGTCTGCTCCCCCCTCCCCGCTCCACCCTTTTTTCTCCTCCCGCCCCGTCCTACCGCTCCCCCAGTGTCCTCGCGCCCCCCATCCTCCCGCAAAACGGCACATGAAGCTCCCTCACCCAAACAACTGAAACACAACTACCTCCCAGAGCACCTTCCTCTATCGCGGCCCCTTATCCTGCTCCTGTCCTTGCCCTTCCCCCCTTTCTGCCCCTCCCGCCTTGATGATGCGCAGCTGCCACCAAGCCAGTGAAAGCGGATAAGTGGTGGTAGGGGAACGCACGGTAGGTTCATGCGGCGACGGCACGCCAGCGCCGGCGAAGGCGTTCCAGGTTGAATTTCGCATGGCAGAAGACGCGGAAGCACTGAGGGGCCCGGTAACGCCACAGGACGCGACGGGGCCACGACCGGTTCAAGCTTGCACGATCGAGGCGGAGTCAGAGTTTTTTTTGCGCGCGGCGACGCCGCACGAACCAACTGTTCGTTGCCCTCGCCCTGATCTCCCCCACCCACTCCTGCCTCCCTCCTCCTGCTCCTGCCTGTAGGCCGCAGACAGCCACAAAGAAACCGCTGATGCGAGCACCGCTAGGATCCTGCTCAGTGGTCGCCCCCCCTCCTTCTATCCCCTCCTTCCCCCCTCCCACTCCTCAGCCTTCGTACCCTCCCTCTCCCTGCGTGCGACGTCACTTGTGTTTTGGCGATTTCGTGGGCTGTGTTCGTTTCGATCTCGTTTTGCAGCAGCACGAGCACGTAAACAATACCTTTCAGGTCAAGCCCTGCCTTCTCCATGTGCTACTTCCTTGCTCGCCGAGCCACGCCCCCGCCGCCCTCACCCCCGTCCCGCCGCCGAGTGCCGCCACGGAGATGCTGGAGAAGCAGCAGCGGATTGTGGTGTTGCCCTGAGGCACTCCCCAGACCTCCGAACTCGTTCGGCAATGGGGGGCCGCAGCGGCGACGGCGAGGGAGGGAAGGAAAGGGAGTAAGGAGAGCAGGAGGAGGAGGAGGAGGAGGAGGAGGAGGAGGAGCAGGAGATGGAGGGAATGGAGGGGAAGGAGGTGGGGAGGGCCTCGCCCACATCCATTTTATCCATCTTGCGCCCTGAGGTTCTCAGATGTCCGAAGCTCAGGTGGCATCCGTTCTCCCTCAGGTCAGGGGGGCATTTCAATGTCTGTTTCGAGGTGCATGATTGACGCGGCTTACAACAAGAACAGCAGCAACAACAACCACAACAACCGCAACCACAACAACATGATGTTGTGAATGGTGGATTGGGATCAGGCGCTCGGCAGACACAACACTACAGATATGCGCGACGCTTTACAACGATGTGGGTTTCCCTCGGACATTGTGGCCATGGTTGAAGCTATCCCTTCCGAGCGCTATTTCACCATCGTGGGGTAAACGGGGGACTCCACAAAGAAAGAAGGCATATGGCAGGCATCGCGCAGAGATGCCCATGATCCACTTACTTACTGCAGTACAGACCACTGTGTTGCACGATGCTTTGGGGGCCATCAGCTTCGAGGACGAGTCAGCCTATTTGGTGACACGAGGCATCTATCAGGATAGATGTTTGGAACATGCTTAACGGTGCGGTTGGACAAACAAGTGTACAACTGGTATCGACTCACGGACAACTGTACAATTGGAAACAAGGCTGTGGAAATTCACATGGTATTGCAGATTCATGCTTCAACTAATGTTATCGTATAGTTGTTCTGTCTGATGGTGGTCTGTCCAAAGCTGTCCGTGAAGTTGTGTGTTTGGGTGGGATGGTGTTTTGCGATGTTAAGGGAACGGCCGATTTCAATTGCCGATTGGGGGAAGCGCATGGCATATTCGGCAAATTTGCTTTGAATCGGTCGCACGCCGCTTATTGATGAAACCAACAACTCAATGTGTAATGCAGTATGGTTGTGAATAAGCTGTTATACTCGCTCGACCCCGTTCGGTTGTTGAAGGCTGGCACATCGAAACTCGTGGCGTTCCACTGCCGCTGCCTTCGCCGCATCCTGGGCATTTCACATTCACCCTGTTTGCGGGTAAACAAGTCGAATGTCTTGAAAATAAATAGCGACAACACATTATCTCAGCTTCCGCTTGAGAGACAATAGAAATGTTACCCCCAGGGGTGCTTCAGTGCACCTTCATCCTTGGTGCGTCTGTGTTCATGTAATCTGGACGGTACCCAAGCTGTGGGACATAGGCGGCGCGGCTAGCCCAGACAGCATTGGGTTTCTTAAGTGTTCGAGATGACGCAGCACATGCGAAGCCCGCTGTCCTCGCCTTCCCCCCTTACTTTGTGTTTTCCCTATTGTTGCACCTCGCAGTCGTGCTGTTCCTAATTTTCTGCTTCGCGGTCGTGATGCGCACCGTTGCCTGCTTCACTGTCGTGGGGGCGCTCCGCGTCCTCGCTCTCTGTTGTGGCTGTTCTGAAGAGTTGACAATCGCGCGCTTTCCCGCCCACGCGCCCTCCCTGATGCACGGCTCATTTGAGATGGCCCCGAGGTGGCCCAGGACATCCGAGCATTATTGTGCCTCAGGGTGCGTGTCAGGAGGAGGGGAAGGAGTCAGGGAGGGAGTATGTAGCAGGGAGGACGATGGTGGGGGGGCGGTGGAGGGAAGAAGGGGGGATGCAGGAGCAGCAGCTGGACGGCGTCGCAGGGCCTTCGCGGGTTGATGCGGCTCGAGGCTGCAGGGATTCAGATTCGGCGGTTGTCCAGGAGGGGCCGGACCTCGGGTGCGACGGTGACGACGACGATTGACTGAGAGGGAGGAAGGAGGAGGAGTGAGGGAAGAGGTATGAGGGAGGAAGCAAGGAGGAAGGATGGAGTGGACGGGAGGGAGAGGGAGAGAGGAAGGGAGACAGTGAGGAATTAAATGTCTCTGGAATCGTGCGGCAGGTTTTCGGCGACGTCCGCAGGTTCCAAAAGTGTCTAGAGGAGCAGGAGGAAGGCGGAGGAAGAGAGGAATGATGAAGGAGGGAAAAGGAGGGAAGAAAGAGGAAGAGTGGTGAAGGTGGTGAAAGTTCGTACTGCGTTCAGCCAGTACAGAAGGCGTTCGTAAGAATATCGATTGATGTTGAGGGTTTCCAGGCGAGGAGGGGGAGGATGCGCATGAGGCAATAGAGGGAGGAGGGAGGGAGGGAGGGAGAAAAGAGTGGTTTCTAGGGTGTTGCTTTGGGTTCGTTGGATTCTGGATGATCTGGATAATTGTCAGGGGTCTCTAGAGGAGGGAGTGGATGAGAAAGACAATGCTTCGTTGATGTACATGCTTTCGGAGGTTCTGCTGGGTTGGCCATTCCTTCTTGTGATCCCTTGAACTGTTTGGAGATTATGCCGCGGCCGACTTGTTGCATGGCACCCCGATGCGCCAGGGCCCCCCGCTCACCAACTGGTCTCTCGTGTGTTATTTCGCTGCTCCTTGAGGTGCTTCACCCACGGCATTCTCCTCTTTTTTCGGCTGCGAGCGAGGGGGTTGCAGTGAGAAGGACAGGGCCTTCTCAGAAGGCGGCGGGCTCAGAAGCCCTCGCGCCTTCTGAGAAGTTTGTTCTGTCGTCGGGGAAGCTTTAGAAAACTTCTCAGAAGGCTGGGGGACTTCCGCACCTTCTGGGAAGGCCTTCTTCTCTTCACCCCCCCCTCGCTCGCGCCGATCTTCCCTCACAGGACATGGCTCGTTGCTTGAATCCGACTGTGACCGCCCGGCTCCCCCAGCGGCCTCAAGGCCTCAGTGGGCGGCTGTCCAGGCTGCCGCGCCCGCCCCGCGCGCGCCTCTCCCGTGCCGTGGTTCGCGGCTTCCTCGGAGCGCTGGCTCTCCTTTTTCGGGATGGCGTGCTCGTGCCGATCCGCCCCTGGCCTCGTCTTTGGAGCGTGTGGGGGGGCCTCTCCTTCGCCGCGCTGGGCTTGCCCACGCTCTGGGCTTTGTGCCCGCGCATGCTGGGGACCGTGTCTTGGGCAGTGCCGCCAGCCATGCTCCCCCTCGGACTGCACCCGGAAGGGGAGATTCTCGCGCCCCGAGGAGTCCCGGCCCGTCGGGCTCGTGGCCGTATCCTGGCCTATCGTGTTCAGCGTGGCTTCTGCAGGGCTTTGATGATCACGAGGGCATTGTTCCCATGCACCTCCAGGTCGAATCGGAGGTCACGCTGGCTGTCGAGCATCTGTCGTGCACTGCCACTGCAGGACTGCAGCTTCTTCTAGGGCTCGTGGATGGTCGGTTTTCAGCAACCGTGTGCTTTCCCCGCGGCTATCCCACGCGGTTGGCGGCCGAGGGCATAGCGATCTCGATATGTGACGCCCGGCGACGTCGACGAAAACGAATCTTGCCAGAGTAGCGAGGCTATTCTGCTCAGATGGATTCGGGAAGGCAGATGTCCATGTGGCACTGACCTCTACGAGGAGGAAAAGTAGGAGGGACGAGAGGACGGAGGGATGAGCCCGAGGAGGATGGGGAGGATACTGATGAGGAGGAGAAAAGGAGAATAGGAGAAGGATATTTACTGACATCAACACGAGGAAGTGGAGGAGACATATGATGAGGGAGTAGATAATGAGAATCGAGTAACTCGGAGGAAGAGGAGGAGGAGGAGGAGGAGGAGGAGGATCATAAGGAGGAACATAAGGACGAGAAACTTGAGGAATAGGAGGAGGAGGAGGAGGAGGAGGACAAGGACGATAATGAGCAGGAGGAGGAGCACGGAGGCGGAAGAGGAGGCGGAGGAGGAGGAGGAAGAGAAGGAGGGGGAGGAGGAGGAGGAGGAGGAGGAGGAGGAGGAGGAGGGAGGAGGAGGGGAGGGGAGGAGAAGGAGGAGGAGGAGGAGGTGGAGGAGGAGGAGAGGGAGGCGAAGGGGGAGGAGGAAAACGAGGAGGAGGAGGAGGAGGCTTCCCCTCCTGTGCAGGTCTCCGCCTGGGCCTCGAGGGGTGAGGCCTCGGCTCGGCGGCCGCGCGCACCGCTTGTGGGGCGTGCCCGGAACGGGGATTGGCCCCGCACTGTCTGGCGGAGGGATCGAGTTTCGAGGAGGGCGGCGGGAGGGGGGGGAAGCTTCGAGGTTCGAGGTTCCAGGAGGGAGGAGGACGATGAGGGGGATGAAGCAGCAGGAGGAGGAGGAGAAGAAGGAGCTGAAGGAGAAGGAGGATGACTAGCATGAGTATGCGGAGGAGGAGGAGGAGGAGCACGGAGGAGGAGGAGCACGGAAGTGGAGGAGGAGGAGGAGGAAGAAGAATGAGCGAGAAGGAAAGAGAGAGGAGAAGGAGAAGGGAAGAGGAGGAAGAGGAGGAGGAGGAGGAGGACGAGGAGGAGGAGGAGGAGGGACGAGGAGGGACAAGGAAGGAGAAGGAAGAAAATGAGAGCTAAGGAGGTGGATAATATTGGAGGAGGAGGGAGGAGCAGGGAGAATCAACAGAAATCGCGCCGGAGGGTGTTCTTTTATCTCGGATCCTGGAGCCAGTGGTTTGGGGCCCTTGGACCAGCACGCATCGATCTGGGCTAAGAATTGGAAAGACTCCAGAGTGGGTCTGGGGAAAGATTTCGTGTCTTCGCCATTATTGGGCCTACAGCGGGCTTCGCAGAATCGCGAATTTAAAGCGGCACAATATCCATCCGTGAAGACAGTGGTAATGAATATGTACAGCAAAAGAGAGCGGCGCTAATGCGAGAGCTGCGTCTTGAGAACCACCGGCCCTTCGTGCGCGTAGCCGCGTTCGAAAGCGTCACGCGAAATCTCGGGCGACACTCCCTCGATGTGATTTGTTGAATGCCACTGCTTTTCCAGGCTTCAGCCTATCGTGGGCCGGTTGCGGGACACGCGGCTGTCAAAATCTTCTCGGGATGAGGAGTTGTTTGCGGAGAGGGGTCGAGAGAGGTCCAGTGCAGCGTTTCCATGTAGAAGAATCCGCTGCGGTCTGGGG